CGTACAGGTCGGTGTATACGGTAGGATTAGTTTTTGTATGGTGGTCGGCTGTGTGGTGTGTTGTGGTTTGGGTGCTGTGTGTCAGAATATGAAGTTTTTTGGGTAGCTGTTGTGGAGGAAAACATATTGCAGAATTGTATTTGACTGAGCTTGTGGAATTTTCATCAGTGGGACTTTTGCCTTGTTCCACCTTATTTATTTTCTTGCTTTTCATATGGGCTCCATGTCTGATTTCTAGAGACTGAAGTATGCATTTATCTCTACCTCTCCCAACCTTCAGCTGTTGGCAGCATGGTTTAGGGCAGTACTTTACAAATTTAGCAACTTTGTGGAAGTTAAATTTCCCAGCCAGAATGAATTCTGGGAATTGAACTCCACACATCTTAAAGTTGTCCAGTTTGAAAAACACTGGTTTCAAGCTATTAGGCAGAGCTCTGGATATAGCCTGTCAATCCCCTTCAGAGATTTTACTTACTTTACTTACTTACTTACTTACTTACTTACATATTTATTTCTATCCCATTTTTATAAATAACTCAAAGCAGCAAACATAACCAACAGACTTTCCTCCTCCTATTATTCCCCCATAACAACAACCCTGTCAAGTAGGTTGCTCTGAAGGAGAAGGACTGATTAAAGGTCACCCAGCTGGCTTTCATGGCAAAGGTGAGACTTGAACTCACAGTCTCTTGTTTTCTAGCCTGGTGCCTTAACCATGAGACCAAACTGGCTCTCTTTTATAAACACAGTAAAGCACAGGTGTCAAACTCGCTGCGTCATGTGACGTGTCATGACTTTTTTTGCATTGCCGGAGCTGGGGTGGGCGCGGCCTCCATATGGTGCAACCGGCCCACGGGCCGGCAGTTTGACACCCCTGCAGTAAAGGAAGAGTGTCATGATAACAAAAGGGCTTGACGCATGCTCTCTCTTTTCTGCAAAAGAATTATTCTGTTAAGTATCAGACTATGCCATAAAGTGAGAAAAGTTTTTTATTATCCCCAGGACAAAAAATTATTTCAGCAGAAGGGGAGTTGAGAGAATTTGCTTCTGGTGATCTACATGTTTGGGGGAATTAGGGAGTTCAAGCATCTTATTTAATAGAATCTAAGTAATATTTTCATGATTTGCAGTCATGGCTATCTTCAGTGGCACCTGTACATGATATTTCATATCCTTTAATCCAATGCAAATCATTTATATGACATCAGTACTGCATCATGACTCTGAGATAGGAATTTTTGAAGAATCCATATACCACCCTGACCGAGGTGATTTTTATGCCACAGGAAGGCTGCTGGTTCTCTGGTATTCCATGCCACATTTTTAAAACTTCTGTTGTTAACACAAAGAATTAAATAAGGATATATGTGTTCATAAGTACTGTTATCCTGCAAGTATAGAAACAGTCTCTGGCTATTATAAAAGGCTTTTTCAATATTCCTTTGAAATATGCCTGGTTATGTCATTATTGCATATATGTAATATTTACATATACTGGATATTACTTGCAACTTATGAACTAGTTATTTTTAGATGTAATTTGTCATACTTTATTAAAACAGCTGTAAAAGCCTACATTTTTCACTATCTCTGTCTGCCTGCAGTTCGGCGGTTCGATTCTCACCGGCTCAAGGTTGACTCAGCCTTCCATCCTTCCGAGCTCGGTAAAATGAGGACCCAGATTGATGGGGGCAATATGCTGACTCCGTAAACCGGTTAGAGAGGGCTGTAAAGCGGTATATAAGTCTAAGTGCTATCGCTATATAAGAATACACACCGAATCTATTGCTTCATAAATTTGTCATTGTTTTATATTCCATAGGACCTGGGCACTTCTGCAGATTCTGTGAAAATGAAGACTACAACCAGCAAATCAAGGATTAGGCAGCGCTAATCATTTTAATATGCCTTGGAAAGAGAAGTACATGTTGTTGGCCAGAGCAGTTCCACCAACTCTTCTTGATTATCTCAGCAAAAATCTCTGGAAATATCATTCTCACTCAGGCTGCAGTAAAGTAGTGGGAAATACCTCAGCCTCAGCCTGTATTTCCTTGTCATTCGTATCTGAAACACTGGAGGAGTTTAAATTTTAGCTAGTTTCCTAAGCTTTGCATCAGCTTTAAACAGCCTCTGTTGATCAAAGTTCTCATTGGAAAGCTGGTCCTCCTCTCAGTCCAATCCTACAAGGATGAGTCTCCGGTGTTTCTCATGCTCCTCTCCTTTGTTTACTCATTGGACCAAGGGATTTTGCTTCCCCACTTACAGGTAATCCTCGACTTACAACAGTTCATTTAGTGACCGTTCAAAGTTACAATGGCACTGAAAAAAAAGTGACTTATGACTGTTTTTCACATTTACAACTGTTGCAGCTTCCCAGTGGCCACGTGATCAAAATTTGGGCATTTGGCAACTGTTTCATATTTATGACGGTTGCAGTGTCACCAGAACTTGGGATCACCTTTTGCGACCTTCTTACAAGCAAAGTGAATGGGGAAGCCAGATTCACTTAACAACTGTGGCAAGAAAGGTCGTAAAATGGGGCAAAATTCAGTGAACAGAATTGTGGGATTCAATTGTAGTCATAAATCAAGGACTACCTGTATTATCCTGGACGCTCCATAAGCCTTTCTTTTGTCTCTGACACCAATGAAGTAACTGCCTTCCTATCTACATTTCTTTCTTCCATGCTTTTTATCATTCTTTTTCTTCTTCCTTACTCTTTCACATGAGTATTATTGTGGTGTAGGGATTAAGATGTTAAATTAGGAGTGGGTAACCTCTCAGACACAGAAGTTCAATGGCTGCCTTTGGTCTTTTAGCCCAATCTACCCTACAGTGGTGTTCTAAGGAAAAATAGGAGAGAGTATTATGTATGATGTCTTGACCTCCTAAATGAAAGGCTATGGAGATTCTCAGTCATCCAGGTCATAGTTGTCCCAAAGATACTTTTTCAAGAGGCAACTGGACTTTCTTGTTTTTCCTTTGAAGACGTTTCATTTCTCTTCCAAGAAGCTTCTTCAGCTCTGACTGGATGGTGGGAAATGGAAGGATTTATACTCCTTGCAGACAGCTGGTCATTTGAATTCTGAAAGGCTACCTATTAAATAAACATATCTACACTTGATACTACACTTGATCTTAGCCAAAAGGCCAAGAAGCAATAAAAAACATATCAAGGATCTGGGGGAGTCAGATGAGAAAGAAGACTTGGAAGGTCTTGAACAGACTCTGGAAAGAGGGGTGCCAGATTCCCTTCTTTTTCTACTGAATTACAATGCCTTCCTTTCTACATGAGTTGTACTGTGTCAAAATCAGCTCTGAGGATTGCCTGTTTGAAGGTGGGGAGAGGCAGGTATTGAACCCTTCTGGGCAAGTAGATTGATACCAATGGGAGACTATCTCTCCTTAGGATCCTGAGCCACCATAGTTAGCCTAGGCAGTTTGGTAACTGGGAATCCTGCAGTTAGAAGCATTTCCATAGCTCCATAGCTTACATCCAGAAGCAGTCTGTGATTGTTTTTATTTATTCTGACTTAAAACACTCAGAAAACAGAAAACAATTGCCTACTTGGGCTACTGCGGTTCCCACAGCAAGAAAAATGCCATCCCATGTTGAAGAAAATAAAAAGAAAATAACGGGTAACTTGGAACTTTCACACTGGCTTGTTTCCTGCTAAAGAGAAGGAGAAATATGGATCATCTGTCAACTTCTCCCCTGCTTCAGTTGGTCTACCAAAGTCTCATACTGTATTAGGTTTTTCATTGCAGGATCTGATTCTCAGAAGCTGTGAGGACAGATATTATAAAATGGAAGGAGATATAATTTAAACTCTTACTGGCAAAGCCCATTTTTCCAAGGATTCTCAGTAAAAAAAATAAGGCTGTCACCAGTCAAAATGAAACTCCAAACATCCCCAATTTGTTCAGCTGGATGGCTCTTAGCTCTTCCACCCAGAAATTATACTCAAAATTATTTCCCTCCAGTACAGATCTAGGAAAATAAAAGAAAGGTGCTTTGGAAATACACTTAATAGTTATACATTGATTTGTGCACAGATATATTTTTAACAAATGAAGCAAAATCACTAGATGTAAAGGGGAAAAGGCAAATATATAGAAGACATGGGAAGACAAAAATCACACACAGAGAATTCCAAATAAAATCAGCACAGCCTGCTTAGCTGAATTAGTTCTTCATTTTCTTTAAATAAGAGAGAACACGAGGGAGTTCTGCTTAAATGTTCATTTGAATTCTGAAAGGCTACCTATTAAACAAACATATCTACACTTGATACTACACTTGATCTTAGCCAAAAGGCCAAGAAGCAATAAAAAACATATCAAGGGGGCAGGCTCTGTTACCCCTTTTTCAGCACATGTTCTGAATGTTACAGGTTTGGGAGGGATGGGACTAAGTAGAAAGTGGGAGGTAGGTACCCAATTTGAAAAAATGAACTGTTGCTTAGCCCAAACAAGTATACTACTCCAGCTATTAAATACTGAATATAGGCAGCAAAACAGAATTGGTCAAAGAGCTAAGCCTACTTTCCTTATGACTCTTGGTGGAATTAGAAAAATGTTGTGTGATTTTTCACCAGTTCTGCATTTGTACAAATAGGATCGCATGGGGCAGACTCTTTGGGGAAATAAAAGCTGCATTCCATCTATTCAGATCTTCACATGGGATCAATTTATTAGATGCTTTAGAGGGTACTCTGGTGCCATACCCAAACTAGAGTTTGTCAAGAGTAGTGGTGAAATTAGACCACCACCAATGCTCAAGAAACAATATGAAAAATGCAAATCCATGAGAAAAAGAAATGGATTAAATTTTAAAAAGGAAAAATAGAAAAGCCAGTCGTTTCTTTCTTTCACTCTCTTATAATTTTTCCGATAATGATACATCTGTCTTGAAGTCCAGCCCTGATTCTTACCATTCAAAGGACATTACCGCAGGCCTGAATTTCCAAACCAGATTTCAGGTAGCCTTTGACCAAGGCAGATATACTGGAAGGTGTCAGAAAAAAACCTGATTGCTCCCCTGACAATTGCCGTACATTGTAGAAATTCTAGCCCCTCCGCTTTCATATCCTGCAAGGCATTGCTTTAAAGTTTTGGATAAATAAAACAACATTTAAAAATGTATTCCCCTTGGAGAAACTGGAAGGAATTGCATTTGGGAAGGCTATCCTTCATTGCTAGGGATGGATCAGCTTTCAAGACCATCAAGAAATTGTTTGATGTGATTGAACCCAGGAGGTTGTCCTGAAATGCTCTGACTCATAGGAGTAAATAATTCCTTTCATGAGCTGTGACAGTCTCCAGTCCATGGCATTAGCTGACACAATCACACATTAGGATTTAATAGGGACATGGCACTCACTACCATTAAATGTGCAGTTTGTACATTGACATTTATATTTCATTTAGGAGATTTCAATCCCTACCAACTGGTAGAAAACAAAGCATCCTCTCTGAAAGCATCAGGTAGGCCCATTACCTTTAATAAGTCTGTTTAGGAAATTCTAAAGCAGTGGTGGCGAACCTATGGCACGTGTGCCAGAGGCGGCACTCAGAGCCCTTTCTGTGGGCACACGCACCATGCCCTGGAGATGGCAACCATCCCTCTTTAACCAGCCACCCATTAACTCGCCAAGGTCCCACGTGGCTGGTTTCCCTCCCCCCCGTCCCATCCCTCCTGGCCTCACATGCTCTCCTTTTCCTGGGCACGACCCACTGCATCGCCTCCTCAGCTGTTGGCTGGCCATCCAGCTCAGAGGTGGCTTCTCTGAACTGCTGGCGGCAGGCTGCAGAGCCCCAGAGTGTGCCGGTCGAGGGGCTGGCAGGCTTGGCTGCTGACGGACACTCGGCCTCCATACGCTCACTGGCCTCTATGTGCGTGGGCCAATGGTGTCAGGCAGCAACTGCCCCGGCCCCTGCCTCGCCTTGTCCTGCAATAATGGCACCCCCACCCTGCCTCGCCTTGCCTCGCCTCACTCCACAGGACGAGCCTCCTGCCCACCGCCCCACCTGCCAGAGACCCCTTGGATCTCCCCCAACCCTGCCTGGCCCCCACAGGTGTCCCTCCCCATTTAGCAACATCGAGGTGACCACGCCCACCTTGGCCACACCCACCCAGTCTGCCAAGACCACCACAGCCACGCCCACCCAGTGGGCCACACCCACCTGGCACCCGGCGATAAATAAGTGGGTTTTCGGTTGCAGTTTGGGCACTCGATCTCTAAAAGGTTCGCCATCACTGTCCTAAAGTGAGAGGTGATTTCCACTTGCAGCAGTGCCATCCACTAACAGAATACTGAACTGCCACCCTAGGGCTACCCCACATACAGTAGTTCCTGATGCAACTTTAATGCTGGCTTTCCCTGCACCTGTATATGTAGCTCAGATGTATACTGGGGGGGGAAAAAGTGCAGTGAGGCAATGTTTAAAGGTTTCGCGGCTCCCAATCAACTACTCTTTGCATTTCAAGAATTAGCCTTTTGGGGGTGAAAGACCCCTGAGTAACTTCTCTGATGTATTTACTTCCCTTTTGCAGGAAGTTTGAATATTTGTAGCTCAGGGTTGAAAGGAGGGATCCTTGGTGCTCTCTAAACTGAATTTGCAGATGTTTCATTAGCCAAACTAAGTAGCATCATCAGTACATTAGTTATTATTGGTGCTAGTTGGAATTGAGTAACCATAGTCCAAGAAAAGATATATTTATGAAAACATGGCAAGTATAGAGTGATGTTTAATAGATGGCAGTGTTTTGTCACTGTTTTGTCACTGTTACGGCTGCACTTCTAAACAATAACACTGCTTACAGACACAATGGAGGAGAAGCAGACCAAACTGCATAATGTTTTTCAAACTTGGTAACTTTAAGGTATTTGAATTTCAACTTCCAAAATCCCCCATCCAGCATGCTGTCTCAGGGATTCTGGGAGTCGAAACCCACACATTTAAAAGTTGCCAAGTTTGAAAAACACTAATATAAAAAGTTGCAGTGAGAAGTGTGTGTGTAAGATTTGTCCACAGAGCTTTATGCTCCTTTGATTCAACTGGATATGACCTCTTACGGGATTACGTGGTTTAGCTCTGGTAAGAATAAGAACACTGTACCTGGATTGCCTTAATTGCCCTGCAGATATTTCCCTTCTTTCCAGTCACCAGAAAGGCATGTTACAACTGTGGACTATAATAAGCTCACTTTACTAACACAATCCATTACATTAGTGCCAGGAGGAGACAAGGTACTCAGCTCAGATTCCAGACTTTTGGAACCAACATAACTTATTTTCTTGTGACATTATGTTTATTGCTCCTTACTTCTGAGTCTAGAAAATGCCAGACTGTGTTTTAAAAGCTTGCAAATAGGAATTGTATCCACAGCAAGTCTCAGCATTGCTGTCCTTCGAGTGAATTTCTCTGGAATCACAAAGCCCATGGTTTATGAGGTTATGTCCTTGGTCTAGTGAGTCAGTCAGTAGCCTTTCTGAGTTTCCAAATGAGAAAGAAAAGGATGCTGGCCAATAAGAAAGAAACAGTACGGTGTAGCAGTTAGAGCCTGACTATACTAAGGACCCCCAGGTATTAATCCCAAGTCAGCTGACATGTTTACTGAGAGCCTTGAGCCAATCTCCATCTCAGCTCTGATCCGGTTCTCTGATGTCCCTGGACGAGTTTCCATCGTATCCATACACTATGCCTGATGATCCAGGATGGTGAGAGTTATTGTAAACCAAATCTTGGGAACCCAAGACCAGAAAACACTGTCTTCTATAGAGACAAAATGGGAAAGTGTGGAGGAGAGAGCAGGATAAAAAAATGACCATAGGGGATTTTGGTTTATGAGACAAGGGCAAAGACCCAGTCTGGAACAAGAGATAAATAGCAGTTGCACATAAACACATATACTTTCAGCAGAACCTTCTGAGTATTTTTAAAAATCTACAAAAGACCCACAAAGCCTCACAGACCACTTATCAGATAACTGAACACACAAAGAAGGACACAGACAACTAGAAGGGAGGACAAATGTGAGGGAAGATACACTAGCTATTTAACTTTTTGGCATCTGCAACAAAAAATACAGCAAAAACTGCAAAAAAAAAGAAAAAAGAAATGCATATAGACCTATATGTATATGAAATTACTTTTTTCCAGCATCAGAAAGGCTAGTTTTGCCATTTGAACTTTTTCCCAACAAATCTTTCTTTTCATGAACTAGCAATAATATAGAATCTGTTTCCCAAATTTCACCATGGTGAGTTATGTGAGCAAAGGCTATAGTGATCATAGATCTGAACCCAGATAGAAGTTGATTGCTGTAATCAGGAAATAAATTAAATAATGTAAAGTTTGCCTGTCAAGTCTGTTGACGGATGAGCAAAACAAAGAAGCAGACAATTTACAAGGGCACAATGCACAAAAATTTGAATGACCACTGTTGGGAAAACAAACCAATTTTTTAAAAAAATACCCAGAAGCTGGACAATATTTGACTTTATGGCTATGTGTGATGGACGGAGGATAAGAGGACAAAAGAGAGGATATGTCCTTCTTTTGCTAGTCATCTGGTAACCTTACACAGACCAGAAACAACCCCAGGCAGAACAAAGATGTCCCAGGGAAATGAGGCATTTTTCATTCCTTTGTTCAGTTCTACGCGGTGTTTTGAATGACAGTTTCTACCTACTTTTATAATCTATTATAAAATAGGTAAACCTGATTGGAAGTATAAACGATAGAATTTAACATCATATAGAAGAGTAGGCTGAGCTCGGCTTAAGTCAAAGTACTCCTAATATGAACCCAAACTGTCTTTTGCCCCACTTTTCACAAAGAGGCTGTGGAAGGATTGGGAGTAGTTTTGTTTTTGTTTTAAATTGGTCTTCAGTATCTTTTCTTATCATCACCTCACTCTTAAGCAAAAAGAAACGATTAGGAGCCATTCCTGAGTCATTCCCCAATGGGGAACCTTTGGGCAGATTTCACTCCACAAATGAAGGCAGGAAGAGAATACCTAGACAGGAGACAGATCATATCTATATGGAGATACCACTGTAATCTGGAAGGCTAGTTGATGAGAAACAAAATGGGTGGCAAATCCGTGAGGATTGGGACCTACCTTAGAATGCTTCTAATACTCACTGTTGCAGGACACAGTCCAGAGAGAGATTCAACTGAAAAAAAGCAATATTCATGAAATAGGGTCACAAAAATCTGCATTTGGATTAATCTCCATACAGTGCGGAATGCTGGTTGCTGGACATATAAATAGGCCTGAAATGAGAACGGCGATTGATAGAACTGACAGTGCCAGTTCAC